TTGAATTTAATCGCTATATACAATTGGTTTTTACCACACCTTTATCATTTCTCGCTGCAGAAGTCGCCTATCAAAATTACCGCAATAACGCGTAAAATGATTATCGTTGCTTTATCAAATAAAAATGAAATAAACTTGTGTATGCATGGGTGAAGGATAATCGTATCTATGTCGAGAACATTTTATATATTTATATATGTATGTGTTATGTATGGGGGAATTGTATATGCAAAGTAAAGCGTTTGTTTCTATTAAATCTAAATTGGGGATATGAGTTAAAAGAAGACGTGAGTGATGTTGAATATTTAAAATTCTTTAGTTTCTTAGTTACTACATAAGGATACATATATATTCCTTTATAAACATTATGCATGGGGGAGGCATGTTGGACATGTTGCGAATTTTTCTTATTTACTTAATTGAATAAAATATGAATAAGAAGACGCGTAAGAAGCAATATTAGCAAGACTGTGAGCAATCCAGGCGAGGTGTGCCACGATTTTTTCGTCTTTTCCAAAAGAAGTACGGTACCATGACTAACTCAAATGCCTATTGTGTCAATTATTTCGAGTAAATTTAACCATAGCTAGTAATTTTTTTTTGTTTTTTTTTTTTTTGTTTTTTCTACCTTTTGTATGCGGAATATTGATGAAAATTGTTTATGTAGGGATTCTCTCTCTCTCTCTCTCACTGAACTTTGTTACATACGGAATATTAAAAGTCTTTGCGCCCTCCGGCTTCGACCAACGACAACGACAACAACGTAAAAAAAAAATAAAAAAGGAAAAAAGATTCGCAAAGTATTTCTTTATATTTAAGTCTTTAGCATACAAATTTTAAATATTTAAAAAAAAAAAAAAAAGATTTATTTGCGGCGCGGCAAGCAAGTTAATCTACAAGTTTAAATAAGTCCGACACTATTTCATAATAAGGTTTATGTATGTTGCATGCATATACATGCATGCCAACAATGATAGGCGTGCAATTTTTGCTGTTTACAAACTTTGCGCCCGGTTAGCTGCAGTTTTCCTCCTTTCTTTTTATTACAACTTAATTATTTATTTTTCTTTCCTTTCTTTAACATTTATTTTTAACTACAATTTTCTCTTATATTGTTTGACTTGTGTGCGTTGCGTTTTTTCTTCTTTATATCATTCCGATTGATTAATTTCTGAATATTTGTTACACATGCATTAATTCCTTTATTCATGCATTTGTTCATTGATTAAGTCGTGATCGTGTATGGAATTTTTAATTATTTCATAATTTAATTCTTCCCCCATATAAACATACATTCATACATTCATACGTTCATATATTCATCTAAATATATATATATGCATGTTTACATTTTATAAATACATATATAATATGTATATGCATACATATATAAATACATATAAAGACGGTTTTATTTTTAACCACCACATCATATACGACATATATATATATATATATATATATATACACATCCATATGTATAGATCAAAGTTTGTATATATGTATATATATATATATATATGTAAGAATGTATGTTTATAGGCAATGTTGTTTGGTGTTCATTTAAATTTCTGTTTGTTAAGCTTAAAGTTTTAATTGAAAATCTCATTCATGTATGCGAACAGAAGTACAAAAAAATAAATTAAACTCCTGTTTTGAAGCCGATTTATTTTGCAAATCTTATCCATAGCTAAATATATGCATTCATATATATATATATATGTAAACGTTTGTGTGCATAATTCACATTTTACTACTATAATGAATGCATGCATACGGTTGTGTATTTAAAAACAATAACAACAAAAGAAAGAAAATTATAGTCTATCTGCCTTCATATCGGTGCACATAGGCGAACGCGTATGTATTTGCAAAAATTTATTTTTGTAATTAGATTAATGTGAACACACACTCATGCGAATATCTTAATTTCAGAAAATAATAATTGCAGCATTTAATAATAATAATGGCCAAGAAATGCTACCCATAAAAGGGGCGTGTAGTTTACTCATGCAACAAATGCAACTCGTTTAAGACTTGCGGCAAATTATCATTCACTGACACATACATGCATTGCATACGTGCGATATTATTAAGCGATTTACTTGTGAAAAATTTTACTTAATTCGAGAATTTAAGAATTGCGTAACTTTAACGTCGATCTTTTGCGAATTTTTTCGCAAAAAACTTTAGTCTTTCAACTCTTTTTTTACGGCGCTACTTAAAATACAGATTGTAGTTCAACAAGCAATTAACATTTTATGACTTTGACTTGTTGACACATGTGATCCATAAGATATGGAGAAAGTCTTCAATATTTTACTTAACCTCTTAATAACATCTTGCGATTTTCTTTTCTCCTTTTCACCTTTTTTAATTAACGACTTAGCCGATTCGAGAGTGATATAAAAAAGTAATTAATAAAAGTGCAAAATTTTTAATTGATTGAAAAAGTTGATTTTTCGAACATAGAGTCATAGAGTCGTATTAATGGTGCTTTGATGGTATGGAACGAGAGGTACAGTTGGGATCATTGCTTTTTGGTTGTACGGGCCGAAGGATGACCAGTTAGATATTTTCTCTTTTTTCTTTTGAGTTTTTACTGCCTCTGCACTTAGTCGCCTTTCCTATTATGTTATATAAAATACAAAACGAAGCATCGATAGTATCAATGAAATAAAAATGAACAAAAGCTTTCAAGAACATGTCAGAAGAAGAATATATCAATCTTGTATTGAGTCTTCATTTTTTTTTCTTAAAAGTTCGTATTCCGAACATTTAAAATTATATAAGAATTTTGGAAATTGAAACAAATTTATTGATTAAGCGCCTGCTTTCACTCAGATCACTTCGTAATTATAACGAATAACACAACTGTGCATTTTTTAGGAAAAAAAATTTTTTTTTTTTATTTTCTTAATTGAACTTTTTAGAATTTGTACGAAAGAATCCCTTCCTCGAAAAGAATTGTACCCTTGAAAATTTCGAGCACTTTCCCAATCGCAAGGGCAAGAATACCTCTGTTTGTGCGGGGAAGTTGTAGCCTAATCGGTTGGCTATTGATCGTCGACTCCTCTAATCGACACTAATCAATGTTTTTTTGGGAGAGCGTTTGTTTCTCTCAATCCATTCAGGGGATGTCACCTATTCGTGTAACCCAGTAACGGTCAGAAAGAAGTCAGGAAAAAGAAAAAAATTAGGAGAATGGTGGCCACAGTCTAATGGGTATACCCATTCGTTACATGTTATGCGCTTACCGACTGAGCAATCTCTATAGCTGGGACCAAAGTAAACTCCGCCCCAATTCAGATTTGATTGGAGAATGGCGATTCTTATTTACTCGGGTGAAGTATTGAAAATTAGACTTTTTCGTCATACGATCTTCAGATTTCGTTCAAAAAATTTCCTCATCCGGCCCAAAGTTTTCATATTAATTTAGAATAGCGAAATACTGCTACTTAGATACTTTTGCCGAGCAATTGTGGAAATCATATAATCGTTGTCGCGAAAACTAAAGCTTTATACGGTAAAAAGGTCACAGTTCTAGTATCTCATAGTGAAAATTGGCTCATAATAGTAAAATGACAAAGAAATTTACCTTACCGAATTTGGATTACGTCGGGCTATTTTTTGGATACCACCGCTTGTAAGGATTCCCATGAAATGTAAACTTTTATATACTAAAAGAGCCTAATCGCTAAGTTTTCTGAAAATTTATCTATGCTAGTGATCAAATAAAAAAATTAAGTGGACCTAATTTGAACCGTATGGGTCTATTTCTTCCAACCCTCCCTATAAGATATCTCATGGTATTATATTAACAATTCATGGGGGCGTCTAAGCCAAACAAATGAATTGTAGGGAATTTGGATAACATAGATCTATTTTTTTTCTTTTTTCGACCTCCACTTATATAGGCGCTATTACGAAACGCAAACGTTTATATGGAGAGAAAATCAAACGTTTCAATATGCGGGCTTTGCATGAAAATAATGAGTCGGAGTATTATTATCAAAACGATCGAATAACTTCACTAGGTGCAGTGATGTAGAGCATGTAATGATCGACGGCGCCCGACTATAATATTCTTACTTGTTTTCCAATTTGCTCGCGCTTTATTGAGACTTTCGCTTAACATTTGTGAAGCTAGCGTCTCGTAGGCATGCAAACATATATCTTAAAATTGATTAAGTCCTACTTTAATACTTATCCCGGAAGTTTTCCGCAAATTTTTTATAACGTTTTTCTTACCTGAGATTTCCTTCCTAAAGAAGACAAAAAAAAAAAAGAAACGTTTGCTTGATATAAATCCCTAAATAACTCGTAGTACGTTTTTCACTTATTTCGGTTTTTCGTTTCGTGATTTATTTATTCATTTTTTGGTAATGCAATATTTGCATATATTATTAAAATGATATAAAAATCTTTCTAAAGATCGTCAAGCATTCACTTCACTTCGATTGCTTGACATCATATTACACGCAGTCCTTGCAGTATCTTTGCTTTACTTTTTCAGCTTCTATTATATTAGAGTCTTGCAAGCGATAGGTTCGGATATCTTTTAGTAAACTTCTGACATAAGTATAGTTTGTTCATTCCAACATGTGTTGGGAATCAAAATTCACTTGACATCTTAAAATATTACGCAAGAAAGTTTTACCTGAAGCTCGTTTGAAAGTACTTACGAATTCATATTTGAAACCAAAGTGTTACACCGACAGTCAAAATAATGGAAAAATATTTTAAAAATGATTTAATAGAAACGTCTTGGATTTTAAACTCGTTGCTGCAAGAATGAGTTTATTTCAACCTCATCTCGATAATTGCTAATAGACGCTGTTATTTGATACATACATACTTTATAGATTAGATTTTCTATATATATATATATATATATATATATGTATATATATTTATTTTTTGATTTTGTATATATACAATACATTAGATAGGAAATACGCTACTTATATTATTTTACAATGTACAGCTTAAGATGAGGAGGTTAAATAAATTAGTCTCTGTAATAATAATAGTTATTTAAATTTTGGTATAATAATTGCTATATGAGTACAAGTTCTAAATGAAATCGTTTTGCTTAGTAATGCGAAACGATGTTTAGAAAAGACTATGATGGTGATGGTGATGAGCCCATGATAATGGCGCCGCATGGAAATGGGCATGCGGTGCGACTATAGGCCTAGCGACGACCGCTTGAGGAAATGCGTAGCCAACTGATACATGATGCGTGGTAGTTTTGGGACCGGGTATAGCCCGATATGTTGGTATTGGAGCGAGTGGAACGGGTAGCGGAACGGGTAAAGGAGCCGGAGCCGCTAATACTGGTGTGTGTAATAAAGGAGCCGGTGCTGGCAATAGGGGAGCTGGCGCTGGCAGTAAAGGCGCTGGAGCAGGTAATAACGGAGCTGGAGCAGGTAATAACGGAGCTGGAGCTGGTGCGGCAAATAGTGGAGCTGGCGCAGGCCATAGAGGTGACGGTCCTATTGGTAGCGGTGCAGAGTGCAAAAATTCAGGTGTCGCATAAGCAAAGTGTTCCGGTAATGCATGAAAATCGAAAGGATGCGATGGCTTCGCCTGAACGAATACAACGGCGCACAAAGCAATTAAAGCGAAAGTCTAAAAATCAAAGTTAATCAATATTTAATTAAAAACAACATTTCAACTCAATTTATACCACTTTCAGGTGCAACATTTTAGTGAGTTGATTGTTGATACGCAATTCCACCACTGGTTTTAGAATAATACACTCGAACACTAGTGTTTATTAATGCAAATGTTGAGGAACTAATGAATAATTAATAATTACTTGCCGGCAATTTATATCAAACGGCGTCAATAAAATTAATAAATATATGTATATATATATATGTATTTGACATATTGAAATTTTCGATATATTATATCATACATATATATATGCAGTCTTTCACTTTTTTTTTTTCTTGGATTTTTATTTTTTATTATTGTTTCTTTTTTTTTTTTTGGTTTTTATTTATTTATTTATTTAGTTTTTTCTTGTCGATAATCGATTCCCTAAAATTGTTGTTAGTCATATTATCAAATTATTATTAAATAACAGCTGTTGTTGTTAACAGTTTTTCTGGTTAATATTGTTGTTGTTCTTCTCCTATTGGGTGTGAATGGCCTAAACATAATGCAGTGCGTGATTATAATTCACACATAAACCGACCGAGAGACATTCAGATAGACAGACAGACAGACAGACAGACAGACACCCATACACTCATTTTGGTTATCTTGATGTAAACTTTTGTAAAATTGTGTCGTGACTTATGCAGTGATTGCATTGGCCTAAAAGGTTTGGTTAACACACTCACTAAAATAGTTACAAGTTTAGCTATCGGGTATGTGTGTGTGTGTGTGTGTAAGTGTGTTTTTTCTTTTTTTCCTATGTATGCTTTTGTACAATACAACGCTTTTGCAACAGACGGCAACTACGACGACGTCCACCAAAAATGAAAATTATGGTGTTTGTGGGTTATTAACCCAATTACCAGTTTATAATACTAGGCGTATGTAACAATTTGTTTAAAGTAAATTTCGTTGCGTAATTTTATTGAAAGCGTACTGTATTAGTTATAGGTTTTACGTTATTGCTTAGTTAGGGAAGTAAATTACGTAGATTACAAAACCTAAAAAAAAATCTATACACAAAAAATGGCCTTTATATATACATATATATATATATATATATATATATATATATATATATATATACATATGTACTCGGAATTAATTATGCGAATAACTTTTTGGAATCGGAGAGTAAAATTTCGAAGAAAGCCAAAAAACTTTGCAAGCAAAGCAAGATCATCACTAGCCAATCACTAGCAAATAACATTGAAAGCCAAGATTTTAAATGCTTTAAGTCGGCTAAGTTGGCTATTTCAAAGAAAAAGACAGACAAGCAGACAGACAGACAGTGACAGAGCGAGAGAGAGAGAGAGAGAGAAAGAGTTATTTCATTGTAAGCGGACAGGTAAGGTATTCGGAGATTCTATTTTTAGCTTAAAGAACATCGATTACACGATTAACATACAAAGTCTTTCTTCACTTTCAGTCTGCTAAAGTCGAGTTAGCTAAAACATTAAAAGAACAATAAGGGCAGCTTTACGATACTCAAGAGATATCATTCTGATATGTAAAATTAAAATCCATAAGTGAAATTCACACTACAATCTCATAAGGTAAATACACAAGAACTTATGTCTCGTCCTTACAACAACTAACTTTTAAGGGAATTTTAATCAAACTTGCAATTCTCAATATTTATACCAAAAACTTTCAATTCCCATGGGGAGGACGAAAAAATATCTTTCATATTTTTTTTTTTTTTTTTTGGATTTGATGAAGTAAAATCGGCTAACGAGACGGGATTAAGTTAAATATAAGAGGAAAAGCAGTTTATATTCATTCATTATTTTAATATATATTTCGGATAATCCTGCGTGAAACGCAGTACCAGTGGATGTAGCAAAAGTTGATCGTAAAATATCAATTTAAAGTGCCAGAGGAGCTGGTGCGGCTGCTATAGCAGCAGGCGAGGCATAGGCAGCAGGATATGATGCGATATAAGGAGCCGTGGCAGCAGTAAAAGTAGCCGTCGGTAAGCCGGTCGCATATCGGCTTGAAAATGGACCAGCATAAGCGAAAGGTGCTGTCGTATAAGACGATAAAGTTCCATCGTAATTGTGACGTATATCAACTTGTTGACTACCACCGGCCGCATACAATGGGGCGTTAGCATAAGTTAATGCGGGCGCAAAAGCAGCAGGTACGGCAGGACTTAAAATACCTGACTGAGCCAATACGCCACCAATTAAAGCAAAAACAATGAAAATCTTTAAAGTTAAAAAAAAAAAAAAAAAATCATTTTTTTATATAAAATATTTAGTAGAGATAATCAAAACTCACCGATTTGTTCATTTTTATAAAGCGATTTACGTTTATCTGCTGGCTTTAGGAAGGAATGTTTTTAGCTGAAACTATGATACGGTTATACTCTTACATTTATTGCTGGGAAGACCTTATATAGTAAAAAGCGCATATTGAAATAAATTCATTTAGCGACTATATCTGCAAATGTGTTACTAAATTTGTATAACAGCAAAGGTACAACAAAAAAAGAAAAATGTCCAAACGTGCTCTGCAAATTGATTGATACAAAATCGGCCAAGAGCCTCGAATTGATGATTACTTATGTGTCTTTAAAATTCGATTATGTTTGCTTTACGTCTGCTATACTTAAATTGATCGATCGATCGATTGTCAACAAAAGTAAACGTCGTGTACAACTCAAGGGTTAAATTGTCTACACAATGTATTTGCGCTTAAAAGACTCGCACTATTAGTTACGGATAATGCGGATAATGGATATTGATATTGCATTCTTATAATATTCATCGATTAGATTTGCTCTTTCCTTTCCGCTCTTGTGTTCTATGCGTGACAGGAAACGCCCATTTATTCATTCGCAGACGGTGGGATCCTGAGATATTTACCCGAGCACCGAAGTGCACAGCAAAAGCTGCATGAGACAGAATGGGATCAAGCTAATAGGTCCACATATTAATGCCGGTCAAATAGAATGCTGTCTTTGAACGCAAAGAGGAGGTGAAAGAGAATGAACCATTTGTCTCCTTTACTGATGTCAACGTAGAAGAATTCTTCGCTTATAATCGCCGAATATTCTGAACGTCAGAATATAGAATGATCATCCTTTGAAAGAACATCATGCCTATATTCAGTGTAGCGAAAGATGCAGTGAAGGACTTCGATTTTTTAAAGAGGCGCAAAAAATTCTTCACTGCAGCCGATATTCATACCATTTACAACGGCTACAAGATTAGAGGATAACTCACATGTGTGGCTCGGAAGCTTTAAAATCTTGCTTGGAAACGCTCGACACTATTCAGCTAAGAGGTGAAAAAGGTGTGTGCAAAACTCTCGCTACCCCCGAATAAATGTCTAATATGGGCTGCATAGTATTTGTGTATAGCTACGTAGCCAGGGCAAGCTTTTCACAGAGGTAATAGAAATTTGTCCACCACTTAAGCCCTCTAGCACATCCAAAAGGGTTTGTAAGTGTTCCTACTCACTGTACACGATCTGACTACATCGTCCTTTAATCATACTGCCCGTCTTTGAAGCGATCTATTAGCAATGGTCTTTCCCTCGGAATGGCTTGAGGAGAGAAACAATGATTTCTGGATGAACAACCGGATGAGCAATCAAAACTGAGCGAACAATTTAATAGAATTTTTTTATGATTCCTTAATTAAAAAGTATCGCTCTTAGTGAAAGACGCTATATTTTCTCTGTTAGATTTTACATGGACATGGAAAGCCTCTCTTCTAAAATGAGTTAACTGAAGGTATGCTTGCCTGCGATATACAAGTAATGTACATTAGTTTCAATATATTATAAATTCGGTTTTATTTTTTTATAATTTTTTACTTGCATTTTCTTTATTTTGCATTTAATTTTAAAAATAGCACAAATAATTTATAAATATATTATGAAAATGGTAACTGTTTTTTGTTTTTGTTTTTTTTTTTTGTTTTTCGTTTTACTTTACCTGAATCTCTATAGTGACGCATTCAATTGTTGAAATGATGAATTTTTTTTTTTTTTTTTGCATTTCATATTCTATCAATAAATACAACATAAGAAAGGTAAAGATAAACAGAGGAGCGATAAAAGCAAATACTAAACATAACGATTTCACACGTTTTAGAGCGAAACCTACACCTGTAGTATGAAGCATGCATAAAAACTCTGCGTTTTCGAAATCAGTTTTTTATTTTTTTTCTTTTTTTTTTTATTAGATTTTTTTTTATTTTCCTTTTTTTTTTTTTTTTTTTTTTGTATATAAAATACGTCATTGACAATTTTTTTATTCAAAAAGAGAAAAGAAAAAACTTTATTAATTATTGTTTATCTCTTACACAAGGCTTGAATGTGTATAATGTGCGCGCTTTATAGCAAACGAAAACGAATACACACAACGTGTACAGAGTTGTTCTATGAATGCAGGATTAGACACGTCCTACTCTACTTAACGAGACTTTTATAAATACGAAATTATTACGCAACCTTATCATGGTGGAAAACAAACAGACTTAATCGATTTTATTGGAATTATGATAAGATTTGCCGGATGAAAGGGAAAACCAAAAACAGTATACAAAACGTATAGCAAAAATTTTAAACAAAAATTAAAACACACATACATATTTTATAAAGACTTACGATACAATTGTATTATGCATTAAATTAAAAAAAAAAAAAAGAGGAATTTATTATAGAATTTAAATTCTCTTATAGACATTAAATTTCTTTGCTCATATCCAGTCTATTTTGCAAATAATTTGAGCCTCGAGCCTTCGAATATAAGGTAAATATAAAAAACATTGCTTACAGTCATCGCCTGCAAGTAGTTGCTCATGCATCGCTCCAGCGAATCGCATTTCTTATTTCATTAAGTTAACATCTCTCGTCTAGGGGTCACCATTACCTTTTCCAATCATATTCGTCATTGGGAAATATAATGCTACATGCAATAATGGACCGGTCCTTTTAAATATATATTATTTATCCAAATTGATTTAGAAGAAATCGTCAAACTTTACATTCATTATAAGAAAGGCTACCATTGATCAGATGAAGTACTCGACATAACATTTATAACATGGGCGGAAACATTGAAGAGAATGTGTTTTTCTCGAGGCCTTTGCTTTCAACATAACAACATAAGTGCAAAGTAGAAGGTGGTTGTAGCGCTTATAAATAGAAATCAATCCTGACTTAAGCAAGAATTTGTCCGCCTGTACATATTCAATAGGCAATCGGTCGCATTGCTTTGCAAAATTGTTTAATGTGAACGTGAACGTGAACGTGTGTATGTGGAATTTTGTATTTTTTATTTAAGCAACCACGAGGGGATGGAGGAAGAAGGAAAGAACGAAAAGTGTCTGAAACCTCAATCGCTGCCGTTCATGCCAGTTCCACGTTAGATGGTCATAAATCTGTGATAGTAACAAAATGATGGCAGCGGTATGTGCCACGCCGTTCATTCTGCGCGCAAAGCGAGGCCTATCTAGCACCTCGGATATATGCTCCTAACGTCGTTTTGGCATAATCGTGGCTATGGTGACGGGCCTTTCTCAATTGGCACAACATTTCGTGTGCTGTCTGCTGCGTCCTTGTATCCCAGTCAATTGTCCATTGCTTTATAAAGCCGTGGACAATGCCCTAAGCTATCTACAGCTACGTTGCTCTTTGGACCTTCCATACAATTACGCAGCACAAACTTTTATTATTTTACTCCGGAGATCTTCACAGCCCAGCTCATACTATGTTCTCAGGCCAGCTAATAGTTGTTGAAGTCTGACTATTGAGAAATTTAAAAAAAAAAAAGAAATTCCTTTCTTTATAAATTTAGGGTAATCGATGTTTTCTCAAGTTCTTTAAGCTTACAGCACCGAAATAATAATGCATAGAATGCATGCTCGCATATGCCGAGATTTACGAATCGTCACTTATTTTGATATTAAAGATTGAGATTTGTCTGAAATCTTACAGTCCAGACATTTATCGACGTAGGCTATCCGATGCGTAAGAACACTTATAGCGTAAAGAGAAGGCCATACCCTATGTATTTGCAGTTCACCCCGAAACGATGGCAAATATATGCTGGAATTAATTAAATCTTACGAAAGCTTCTTCTCGCAGTAAACAGTCTTCTTTTGTAGCCTCTTGCCTTTTTTAAGGGTATAACCAAAAGCAATAAAATATTCTCGATAGCTGTTAGCTTTAAATCACTAAAATAAAGAAAAAAAAAAAATATTTTCCATACATTGCTAATAAAATTTGAATAATTTTGATATCAAACTCATTCTAGAGTGAACTCCATCTACCCTTAACTGATTTCATTTAATCTGAAAGTGAAAGTTTAGTATATTAATATATCTTGCACTATTTGTGGTACATTAGGGTATATTAAGTTTTTGCGGACGCACGGATTGTAACACCCAGATGGACTTGAGATACGCCGGTCGATCTGAAGCCTGTCTAAGCTTGTCTGTTCGTTTGCTCGTCTAATATCTATTCATGAATTTTTTAAATTAACTCACAGATCGAAATTTCCGAGATATTTTGATGAAATTTGGTACACTGGCGCTTTTTGAATCAATAATGATGCACCCCGTTGAAGATGGTTTGGAACGGACTACTTTCTCGTTCATTCCCTACATAACGCCTTGTTTTAGTAATTTTTGCTCCTAGCCATATAGTATTTCGTCGTTCTAAATGCTTGTGAGAACTTTGGATGAGATGGGGTAAATTTTTGAACCCCTTAACATAAAATCGTTTCCATGGAAGATCAATCTTTCTGTGTTAACAAGGCCTTATTTGAGATAGGGTATTGCACGGCCTACCTTGCTCGACTATAACACTCTTACTTGTTTTAAAATTTAGTATTTTAATTCGCTATAATATATATATATATATATATATATATATTTTACAATTTAATTTATTATAATATATATATATAAATATATTATTTATATATGATTTTCGTAAAGGTTAGTTTGTACACATATGTTATGGGTTATATATATATGTATGCAAATTATTAGGTAAGAATTTATAAAACCGCATTTAATTAAACTGGCCAGGTGTTAAAAAAAAAACTAATATTTTGTAAAACCTATTAAAAGTTATATGCAAAATTTATAATCGATTTAGTTAGACTTTCGGATAGACATTATTTCAAGTTAATAAACAAAAAAAAAAAAAAAAAAAAA